ATGCCTTGACTTTCACTGTTCTTGTTCGGCTGTTGTTATCATTACTGTCTTCTTGTTCATCCTTTCTTGAATATATACAAATAGAATCAAAATAATCACCATGACTATTTAATGGTTAATACATGTACCTATATTTTCCAATGTTCAATCAATGACTTAATAGAGAATATTTAAATTGATTGATTGCATTAAACACTACTTAGTGACAATTTATATTACATTAGACAGAATAAAAACAATTAACTACACCCTAATAATTAATAATTGCTTACTCTGATGTATTCTTTAGTGAAAGAAACAAGAAAAGGTTCAGTAAAACATGTTCAATTAGATGGGTATGTCTTTTTGTAGATTTTTCAAAGGAATTTACATTATTAACTAGCATCAATTGAACTACAATTGCAAGATCATGGTAAAAACTTCTAATGACACTTAGACACCAGCATACCAAAGTTCCTTTTTTTGCTTTCAACCCAGGACACTCTAAAAGGCTTTTTGTTATATCCCAATGAGTAAAGATTGTATTCCCGAAGTTTCGTAACTTAATGTAAACCGCTTCTTCACAGTAACTTTCTAGCCAATGTTTACTTTATTTGAATCTACCAAGTTCAACCATTGGCATTGATAAGGACATAAAAGAATTGTCATAATGAATAAACTATCATATGAACCAATAAAAACCAACATTCTACTGAAAGAATCAATACCAAAGTCAAAAATTACATTGAATCAATACATGATTTTACATTTAATTGTCCCCTAATAAATTGTATTTTGGGATTTAACATTCCCAATAGATTGAAAACCAGTAAAAGTTGGGACTTATCAACAGGGTCCAGCTACGGCATGACTTCAGGTGATCAAGCAAAACTAGAAACTTGATATTTCTTAGTGAGACGATACAAGTAAGCCATTGAGTTGGAACTGTAAACTTTAAAAATACACGTGGATCACCACAAATTATCCATACTTGATATCGTCTATATGCTTCCACATGAATTTTCAGGAATTCGTGAGATGTGGTCTGTGGAGTCAAATAATTCAATAGTAAGTCAAAAACTGACCAGAAATAATGTATAAGTACTCCGTTCCACTAAAAATCGATTTGAGAATGGTAATTACTGCAATACTGACTTAGTACAGGTTCGATCACATACGAGACTGTAGCAAACTCACAAAGATATTTTCGAAATTCCCTTGTATCCTACAGGCAATAATTCACAATAGTAATTATTTTTTTCATAAACGAATCTTCACATGAAACCATTAATGTGTACTATCAATCGATTACGTTTTCGGTAATTAATGTTGAATGAATTCCACTGGTCAATTGGCTACCAAGATAAATGATACTACACATCCAATCCTGTTAGTCCAACTTACTGAATTGAAAATCCCTTGGTTAGGATACATAAGGACTAGCTTACGAAAAATAATTGAATTCTTCACAGGATAACATAATTTTCCGTAGTATTTGATGAAATAAAAGTTTCTTCGAGTTTTTAAGTTATTCTACAACATCCAGTTATAATCTTTCTAGAGTTTAAATTGGCTAACTACAATATCACCTGAAATCATATCCATACCATTTTGGCATTTAGAAAGCAAACTATATATGACTACCACGATCGAAAATTCTTGTCACATTGGGAGCAATCCTAACTTTTGATCTAAAAACCCCAGTGACAAATGTAGGCTACTGTCATTGAGGTTGGTGAATAGTTACATAGAACGAATATATAGGTTGCATTTGGTTCGCTTTATTAACTTCATAGAGGGTAAGAACAAAGAATTGAAAAGAAAGACATGAATTCACTTTATTTCGTCAGGTTTTCACAAGCTGCTTACAACCTACTATACTTTAAAATCAAAATTATTGTAAACTCCGCATACATAAAACAGTAAAATTGGATAGGTATCAACGTAATGAAGGAGTGAGATTGAAAACTATATTTTTGCCCTCAAAAAGTTATGACTTAGCCTTTTGGTACCGAATACTGGAAATGATGACAATGCCAGTTTAAGAACAAACTGTAAGAACTTAATCTGTTACTCAGTCGTTTGTGACTCATTCCTAAAATAAAATAAATTACATCATACCCCTTGGGACAACCAACTGAATGGAATTCACCACTCTAGATCAACTTCATTGACTACTAGAAAGCATTTGATAACGTGAACAGGACTATACTATGGAGGCTTCTTCGGCACTACGGCGTGCCTGAAAAGATAGGCAATATCATACAGAATTCCTATGATGGATTAAACTGCAAAATTGTGCATGGAGGACAGCTGACAGACTTGTTCAAAGTAAAGACCAGTGTCATGTAAGATTTCTTACTCTCACCATTTCTCTTTCTCCTCGTGATCTACTGGATCATGAAGACGTCAACATCTGGAGGGAAGCACGGGATATAGTGGACAGACAGGATGCAGCTGGACGATCTAGACTTCGCAGATGACCTGACTCTTCTATCACACACGCAACAACAAATACAGGAGAAGACGACCAGTGTAGCAGCAGCCTCAGCAGCAGTAGGTCTCAATATACACAAAGGGAAAAGCATGATTCTACGATACAACACAACATGCACCAATCCAATCAAAGTTGACGGAGACGATTTGGAAAATGTGAAAACCTTTACATATTTGGGCAGCATCATTGATGAACATGGTGGATCTGATGCAGATGTGAAGGCGTGGAACAGCATATTTACAACTGAAGAACATCTGGAAATCAAAACAACTGTCTGTCAAACAACACCAAAGTCAGAATTTTCAATACAAATGTCAACATAGTTTACTGTATGGTGCTGAAACCTGGAGAACTACGAAATCCATAATCCAGAAGATACAAGTGTTTATTAACAATTGTCTACGCAAAATACTTCGGATCCGTTGGTCAGACACTATTAAACACTGACAACCTACTGTGGGAGAGAACAAACCAGATCCCAGCGGAGGAAGAAATCCGGAAGAAGTGCTGAAAGTGGATAGGACACACATTGAGGAAAGCAACCAACTGCGTCAAAAGGCGAGCCCTCACATGGAATTCTGAAGGCCAAAGGTAAAGAGGAAGACCAAAGAAGAACACATTACGCCGAGAAATGGAGGCAGACATGAGAATAAACAAAAATTGGACAGAACTAGAAAGGAAGGCCTAGGATAGAATGGGTTGTAGAGTGCTGGTTGGCGGCCTATGCTCCATTAGGAGTAACACGCGTAAGTAAGTAAGTAACATCAAATGAGATACAAGCTTTGAAAAATTTCCGTTACAGAAACACTTCAAAATCCGAATCAACATACTTTTTATTTGACCAGATATTATAATCCTCGTCAGAAAAAGATCCCACTGACCACCAGTTATCTTTGAGATACTGTTGTGTATACTACTTCTGTCAACAGACATAAGTAGTATACAACACCAATCACAAGTGAAATGCCTGGCAGCAGAAGGTTAAGAAGATCGTATTCAAGAGAACGGGAACAGAAAGTAGTTGTTATAGCAATGAAAAAAAAACGGTGAAATTTGAGATAATTTATGGAGGATTTGTAAATGAAGCATTGAATGTATGGTTATTCTTATGTCCTTATGCTTATACGATTGTCGATTTAGATACGTTGACTTGTACGACCCAACTAATAACGCATACACGAGTACGAACAGTCTAGAGTTCTTATTGGTTCCTTTTCAGTTTCGCGTTAAAGTTACAAATTTTTGTCCTTTCGATTTTATTCTCATTTACACTCCTTAAGCTGATATAAATGAGAACACTTTGAGCCAATTGAAGATCATGTCATATTTGAACGTTAACGTCAAAATTACGAAACCAAATTTTCTGTTGTGATATGATTAGTAAATAATAAACTTTAGCTTAATTAGCAATAAAGTATCTATATAAAATCCTAATTAAACTCTTTTGCTAAGACAGATTTATCTAATTCTCATCATAAGTCAAATAATAATCAACAAAGCTTGATTGTAATAATAAGCATAACACGTTTTCTTAATTTGATTTTAGACCATACTTCATGGCTCTAAACTAAGATGAAATGTAGTTTGTATTGTTTTTTAGGATTTCATTTTTAAAGAGAAACCAGTTAAAATAGAATTCTCACCTTTGAATAGGTTGTTGAAAGTTTAGTCAACCATTGACTTACATAATGATTGTTTAACATAATTTATCCCCTTGCCAAAATATAAATTCATTGGATATTGCGTTAACTTATCACATCTACTTACAACCCTATTTATGATTCAAATATAACTACATAATAGTGGATATAAAACTTCGACTAATCTGGAGACGTAACTTGAATAGTCCTCGACAAAATTTGGATAATCACCATGATAGCTCATAATCAAGATCTCAACTATTGAAAAGATAAAAGAATTTAGAATTTCGATTTTCTACTCCAGAAGATCGATGATATATATATAATACGTTAGGCTATCGAGAATTTAGATGGTGGTTGGAGGTAATCAACAGGAAACCCTGGACCCAGGTTTCGTGCTACTTGGCACTCGTCAGCAAGGTGTACCTGTAATCTTGAGGGAACTGGTGCTCCCTAGCGGATTCGATCTCGTGTCACCCAGCTTCACATTCAGAGACGTTACCACTGAGCTATCCGAGCCACGACTGACCTCCTGTAGGACTGAGATGTAATCACAATTGATTGATCACTGGGTGGTGATCAATGTCATGCGTGTCTAGTCCTTATTAGTGCCGATCGAATGCTATCGATCGTGTTTCCTGTTGACTACCTCCAACCACCATCTAAAATCTCAATATATAGTGCCCGCAGTGTCGAGTCACCTAGATTGTTGGCCACATTGCAACACTAATAAGGACTAGACACGCATGACATTGATCACCACCCACTGATCAATCAATTGTAATTACGTTAGGCTATCTTTTAGAATCAACCATTTAAATTGTGATTTCTATGAGCCTTGGGTTTAATCGTACCCAAATGATCTGGGGAAAAAAAAACTAAGATAGAGATTATTAAAATCCTATTTTTGGCTGATCATGATTAAATAGTATAGTTCCCAATACAGATTAATACAAATAATACGAAAATATTAACATTTCAAAAGGGATATTAGTTGAAAATAGTATATTAATTGGAAGGCATTATAACTATATATATATCACCATGATAACACCAACAACAATAACAATAACAACAATCTTATCAACTCAAAATATCTCAGAATATAAAAAACAAACAAAAACAAAAAATGAAGAAAAAAAATAAAAGAAAATGAAAAAACTTTTTTTTATTTCAAACAAAAAAAAGAAAACAATAATCAATGAATCAATTATTGGAGAGAAATTTCTTGAACAACGTGAAAGAACAATCTTTTAAAAAAAGAAGGGGGGGTTGAATTGTGATGAATGAACAGATGTCAATTGATTCCCCACCCCCCGTCACCAAAAAAAAGAAGAAAAGGAAATTGTATAATTCTCTTTTTTTTTAAAAAAAAAAAGAAGAAACTAACATTTAAAATAAACTGAACAGTAGACTGATCACCTATCTACAGTTGAACGTATATATGCTTATGAAATATAGAAATGATTTATATAAACATGAAAATCAATAATTTATCACAGACATAATGATTTGTATGTTGAGAATACCATACATCCCCAAAAATCTTTATGTGTAAAAGTAAAAGACAACTGTAAACAATAAAGAAAAAAGAAACAACATTATAATAAACACCATCAGATTCATTGATAATGATTTACAAAGTTAATAATCTCCATAACTCTATACTGATAATTACTATGTACTCACACTAGTGATTAGTTTCGTGAAGGAATTCTAGGAGTTCTAATGAGAAGTCATAACCAGTGAAACTAATCTGTGTCAAGTAGAGACAGGTATCTACCTCAATACAATGAAAGATGGTCGCGCAATTTCGTAGATTGGTTGAGGTTAGACATGAACACTGTTGGATGCCGACTAGGTCAGTGCTCTAGAGGTTAAGCGTTCGCGCGCGAGATTGAAGGCTCTGGGCTCGAATCCCTTTGACGCGGGATCGTCGATGTGCACTGCTGAGTAGTCCCATAACAGGACAAAACAGCCGTCCAGGGCTTCCAGGTTTTTAGTGGTAGTCTAACATCAATTAGTATATGATCTCAATCAAAAACAGAGAACCCTATTAAAACGATGAGACTAACTTACGGACAACCTTTCAGCGACGCCAGACTAACTTTGAGAGTGTCTACCTAATAACTAGGATCAAATGAAGGTTATAAACCTGTGTGATGAATTAAAATTATGAGTTACAGTTGATGGTTAAAGTTAGAAATAAGATTTAGGGTTTTCATCACGAACCGACATTAGCTATAATTCCAAAACTTTATTTAACCAAATGGATGAACGAATTTCTCGCCAAAATCCGAAACCTATTATCTTATACCTCATTGGTTCGTTCATAAAACTCCATTAAAACTACTTATTGTTAAAATTTTAATTATTTCTACCATACAACCTACATTTCTTTCGAAAAGCTACACTTTTCTCTACAAACAGAAGATTGATATATAAAAAAAACATAGTTCTTAGCATTGAGTTCTTTGAGTTAGATAGTTGGTAATTGTGAATTATTCATTGTCACTCAAAAGAATACCATCAGAGTCTAACTTTATGCAAGAGTAGAATCTTGATTCACAACTACATACGATTATTACTGTTATTGAATGTTGTAACACGACGATAATTACAGTTCATAATAATGATTTATAATGATAAAATGATACATTTAATGGATACAACTCCACGTCTTTGAATTTGAGTTAAACGATATGCAAAGGATAGTGATACTTAACCGAAATCAAATAATGAAATAAAGCTATTTGCACACATTGATTTTTAAGCTACTATACTTTATGCAAATTAGATTGATTATTTTGAAGTGAAAAGAGAACAATAAAACCACTACTTTTATATGTGTATTCTGTTCTATACACAAACTGATTACTCACAAAATTATGCAATTCAATATTTTATTATTTATTTATTTTGGCACATAGATATTGGTACAAGGAGACACCAAATACATATGCGCCACACAAATCTCATTTGATATGTGTGAAGACTGCGATACTGCTCGAGTGCCCAAACCGAAGCTAGTGGTTTTCTTAGAAGGACACACGCGTAGCCTTCGACCTGAAGGTTTAATCGACAAGGCAGTGGAGCATCGTAAGGAGATGCAGTCTCATGGTAGCCAGTGACCAACGACTGGTTCATACGCTATTTGTTCCCTCAGGATAAGGGAGCCCATGTGCACCATTGGTTTGGAATCAGGGTTTTCCAACTCCCTTAGGTGGACTCTCCGTGTCCACCAACCTGGTTCAAGCGCCGAACATTCGCTTTTCGTCCTCTCAGTTTCGTAAACAACACACCCACCACGAGAAGGCAGTGAGTAGGACTTCCCTGGCAGAGGTTATATACGCGTGGCCATGTGAGAGCATTTTGAGAGGGAGAGCGGACTCTCCCCACTCTCTGCCTTACCAGGGCATTATTTTCACCCCCAATCTCCAATGACAGTTACTTTATATGAATATCTTTAAACAAACAATAGTGAAATATCATCCTGGTGAATAATCCTCTATTAAATAGCTTGTTACATATAGTAGAATTGGTTTTCAATAAGATAGGATATGGAAGTTATGTTTGAGAAATAAATCCAGCATTATGATAGAAATCTTAATCAGTACGATAACAAACATTACTTTTTATTAGACTGCCCTCAAATGCCCTGGTACGGCCGAGAGTGAGGAGAGTCCGCTCTCCCTCTCGAAATGCTACGCGTATATAGCCTCTGGCAGCGAAGCCCTACTCATTGCCTTCTCACACTAGGGTGTTAATTACCAAATTCAGAGGAAGAGAAGCGAAAGTCCAGTGCTATGACCAGGTTGGTGGACACGGAGAGTCCACCTAAGGGAGTTGGAAAACCCTGATTCCAAACCAATGGTGTACATGTGCTCCAGTATCCAGAAGGAACAAGTGGCGTATGAACCAATCATTGGTCACCGGCTACCATGGGACTGCATCTCCTCATCTTGCTCCAATTCCTTGTGCATCAGACTTTCAGGTCGAAGGCTTTGGGTGTGGCCCCCTAAGAAAACCACTTGCTTCGGTTTGCGCACCCGGGTAGTATCACATCCCTCACACAGACAAAATGAGGTTTGTGTGGCGCATATGTATCTGGTGCCCTCTTGTACCAATATTTATGTGTTCAAATTAATTCATTAAAAAATAATTAATTAATTTTCTTAGATCAATAAGAGAACCGCAGATAGATGTGTACTACTACAATATAATGTTAATTTAGTCTGTTGACAAGTCTCAATTTGTTTATCCCGTCTTTTATACCCATCCGTTGCTATAATGTTCGACAGATGATAAACTTAACACAGAATTTAGGATACTAAGAACTGAGGTAGTTAGCAGGAAGATACCTTTGATCACTGACTCTATAACTAGTTATTACTTTGATCTTTAGAGAAACACCTGTTAGGATTCTGAAAGCACCTTAGATAGTAATGTTTTCTCATTTCAACGCTTACATGACTTGGAAACATGCACAACTTTTATACACAATCTATAAAAATTTCGGTTTGGTATGCTAATTAATATCAATTACTGACAAACTGCTTTATAAGAAGTAAGAATAGGCTTATAAAACGATACCTTGAGTGTTTTGCTAGCTAATATGTCGATTCAACTCCATCTGGAGACCTGTAGTGTCACTGCCGGTCCCAACTCCAGCAGCGCTTCACCATAAAACGCTAATTAGAGGAAACTGACTAATTCACAAAAACGCTGCCCTGAAAGTTGAGGGTCTTTTCATATAAGAGTCATGACAGCTAATGGTAAAGGCTGAGATTTTTCAGAAGCCAAGAGGCTGATCCCGCTTCGGATAACTAAAGCAATAATCACTAGAGGTACATAGAGTGACCAGACAATGTGAGAAACCGTAAGTGTCATTTAAATAGCCGCAGAAATTAGAAGATACAACGTGGATGTGTTAGGAATAAGTAACACTCACTAGACACGATTTGGACAGAAAAGACTTACTTCAAAAGAGCTGTTGTATCCTAGTCGTGAAAGCCCAAGCCATGTAATCCGCACTTAATCAGTTGGCAATCAGTGTCCGTAGGTATGGTATGTGCTTTGCACCTTCGGAGTGCAAAGTACTTCTACAAGACTGGCAGGATTCCAATCCTGTACTCACCCTGAATGGTGAGCAGATAGAAGTAGTCGAGAAGCTCGTGTATCTGGGTAGCTGCATAAGTGTTGGTGGGGGTGTGAGTGATGATATCAATGCACGCATAGTGAAAGCCAGAGCGGCTTATGCCAATCTGGGCCATCTTTGGCGCCTTCGTGATGTCAGTGTGGCTGTAAAAGGTCGGATCTACAACGCGTCGGTGATGGCAGTTTTGCTCTATGCTTGTGAAACCTGGCCTCTCCGAGTTGAGGATGTTAGACAACTCTCTGTGTTTGATCATCGTTGTCTCTGAAGGATTGGTGACATTCAGTGGCAACACCATGTTAGTAATGCAGAGGTTCAATATCTTGGTTCGAGCACAGAGACGATAATTCAGTTGATATCACTATCTTGAAACATCGACTTCGGTGGCTTGGACATGTTCTACGAATGTCGTCCTAGAGAATTCCACGTCATGCATTATTCGCCGATGCTGGGACTGGTTAGAAAAAGCGGAGAGGTGGTCAGTGTATGATATAATGTTGTGGTATGAAAGCTGCAAAGGGCTAGTCTCTGTTGGTCCTACACGACTCCCTGGCTGGGGTCCTAGAGATGGTGCAACACAGTGACTAGAGACGTTATAAGATATGGCTCAGAATAGAAGCCAGTGGCGATCCTGCTGTAACCTTTTACTTTCTTCATAAAAAGTGGTTGCTTCTTCCTAAACTGAAAGAATTCTTCTGATTGTACCCTTCTGTTTTCCCCATTATTATTATTATTATTACACTACCTTACACTAATCGGTTCGCTGTTTTTTTTTTTTAATGCTCCTTACCGTTTTTTCCCCCCTTTCTTCTCTTCCCAATCTCATTGTTTTGTGTGGCGCATATATATTTGGTGCCCTCCTGTACCAATATTTATGTGTTCAAATAAATAAATAAATAAATAAATAATAAACTGATACACTTGGTTAAATTTCAGAGTCCAATTGGAAAAACGTAAGTTTCCACGTTTATCATTCTATGCTATTAATCAGTTGAGACGTACTGAATACACCCAAGTAAACACAAACATGTTAGATTCAATTTATAAATTTTTATGGACTTACCTGTGATGCAAAAATGAACAAACACTAAGAACGACAACATAGCTTAGATGACTTTGTACTGTTAACAGATTCGTTTGAACCAGGAAAAGTTAAGTGAGCAGGACCAATTCCAACTGGATAGGACATTTGGTTTGGGTTAGAACCATTTTGAATTTGTTCTAGAACACTTCGAACAGCAGCGGTAAATGCATCCAAAACGTTCGAACCATTTTTAGCTGATGTTTCCAAAAATGTATAAGCTCCATTATCAATGGCACACTGTTTCCCTTCTAATTCAGTGACCTAAGTGATGTAATGAACCGCATATACGCTGCGAATTAATGAAAGGATAATGTTATTTTAAAATTGCAACATATAGGTACTGTAGGGCTTTATAATACATTTGTACGGGCAAGATCCTTAGGGATACGATGTCTGACAGTCAAGTTTATTAATTGGAAAGTGAGTGAATTACGAACTAGTGTCATTCAGTCGTCCATAAAGTTTATCTATCTTATTTCGTGTCTAACTTCTATGTATCAACATGTATATATGTACATAGAATGTCTGATCATCTAACCAGCAGTCTTGCCCTTGATTTCTAATCATCCGGCGGATTACGTTGACCCGCCACATCATATCACTGCGTCCATGTACCGACATTTATTTATCTATCTACCTAAACGAATAAACATTGGTACAAGGGGAGCACCAAATACATAGTCGTATTATGTAGTTGTTACCAAATAAGTGTCCAGAGCGATAGTGACCTGACCTTAATGAATGATAATTTCACGAAGTTACAGCCTACCCTGAAAATGAACTAACTTTGTTTCTAGCTCATCTCTATTCTTTTACTGCACTAAATATGTGCGAAAATATATATATAGTCCTCGTTTACATGTGATGAACATTTTTCTTGGTGATATATCTACAGCTTTGCCTAAATATATGGTGATTCTACCGAGTATATGACATTAAAACAGGATTCCTAGTAGGAAATGTCTATTACAGTAAGACGATTGAACACAGCTACCACGTTGTTCCTCTTTGAATAAACGATATCTAGCTAACGTAAGCTGGCAAACATGTCATTTATCCATGAGCCTTAATTGAAGAGTTGTTTGGTCGACCCAAGTGTATAGCCTTTCAGCCAGACAAACTCAGGTGTCTTTTCACTTACCTCACGTAAGTTCGCTTCCAAATCAACTTTGTTTCCTATCAGTATAACTGTCAGGTTTGGAAGAGCTAAATCTCTAACAGAAGAAATCCATGAATTAATTGCGTTAAATGATTCTCGGTCAGTGATATCGTAAACTACCAGCGCACAGGCTGCACCTCGATAATATGAGCGTGTGATACACTGAAATCTCTCCTGACCTAAAAGAAATTATGTTTACTAGATGAAGCATACCAGCCGTATCCCATATCTGTAACTTTACAGACTTTGAGTCAACTCTAAGCACTTTTGTTCCAAACTCAACACCTATTGTGTGTAAAGAATCCTGTTTAAACTTCCCCTCAAGGAACCATCTCATCAAACATGTTTTGCCAGTAGCTGCATTCCCAATAATCAGAAACTTCAGCAGGTAATCATACCTCTCCATAATCTTCAAGGTTAGCCATCCGTCAAGGTCGTAGATGATACTAAAATCCAATATCCAAAATGTGTAAGATAAACTAGTACATAGTATTTATTTTGTTTCGAAGGAAGATAACGAGTAACAAAAACTTCATCTTGTCCTTTGCCTTAAATTAAAAAATAATTAGAATTCAATTAACCCTCCGAAACTTTCTATCCTTCTGGTTGAATTTTATAAACCTATTGATTTCTTTTCATTCATGCTTGATGTTAGAAGGCGACTCTAAATAATCTCTTCCAGTAAGCTTCTGTTCACTGGTTGTCCTTCTTCTTTGTATAACAGATAGTCTGTTTTAAGTGGTATAAATATCACCCTAATAAATAGACCTGTCAGACTTGGACAGTGATACTGACCTCATTAGTTTTACTGGACACACCTAGCTGAAATTTCCCGGGCACGCATCCTCAGCAGATCACGAGTGGGTACGTCATGGTACATATCCCTTGCAAGTTTCACCCACCTAGATTAAACGCTTGAAATATTGATAGCCTCCTAAATGTATGTTCCAACCATTTCACTTATGACTTTGATTTGTGTGGGTTGGCTATCTGCGATAACAAAGATGTTACGAGCACTGCGTTGTTAAACTATAAACACACGTGACCTCTTTAGAATTGAGATCGACGTGATCTAGTGCACCAATTCGTAGACAATGAGTCTGTTTATGGTTGGAATATTATTCATCACTTTTTAAATTTGTATTTTCACATATTGTGATATGGTTTGTATATCTTCGGATGTTTTCCCCGCGTTCATTTTCATATCATATCTCCACTGTGACAGAACAGAAACCTAGGCTATTTAATATCATGGCTCATTCGCCTCTCACCTCTCAACTCACGCCATTGTGGACAAAAAATATAGAAACTGGTTCTGCTACTCAGAAGCTGATTTCCTCAAGCGTGACATCACAGAACCCCTGTATAATTGCTTGAAGCAGCGAAGATATCGCCGCACGATTTTGAGGGGTGTGTCACACCTAGCATGTTTACTGGTGAAGTTTCAGAACCTCATAACACTTTGAGAAAGCTATACTTAAACGTAAGAACCTGACGGATAGGCAAAGGTTAGACCAACCCTTCCACAACATCAAGCTGTAACAGTAGCAGAGATTTGTCTGTGAGTGAGAGAAACATTGGTTAACGGACCCTTGACGAGGTAGATAACTTCCCTCGTCTAAGCTTCCCCAACTGGTGCAGACAGTCCTCGTCTCCTACCAATATAACATATTTGATGTAATAGTTACATCTGAAAGCTGGATTATGAAAACCACCAGGACCCCCAAGTGCCGAAGTTTGATCCGTCAAAGTAAAATCTCAAACAATACAAAATAACATCACAAGCCTCTGTCATACTTTCTATAGCCATCTTAATATTCATTATATTCGTAAGCGCTCCCAAATTCATCGAAGTTCGTTACAGAAAAGATCCGTCTTTAAACCACGAGATGCAGATAAACTGATTGATGCTGGTACCACAATAAGTATGGTAAGTCTTCGTAAAGTCTCAGAAAACCCTGCAGTTTCCCAATCTTTGAGACTTCCGACACGAACAAACGTTCGGGAAACTTCCTAGCCGGCACGCGCAAACTGCACCTGTAGCTGGAGAACACGACCACCTGTTGCACATCATTGATGTAATGACGACAGTTCGCTATTTCGTCGAATCGGTCGCAGAAGTTAGCATTCTCTATGCAAATCCTAACGACCGACCGAACGAACCGTTCTTCAACTTAAAGGAGGTAAACGGGAAACCGTTCGGGGAAATGTGTATCTTAAATAGGGTTTACGCGAACCCATTCACTAGATTTTCGTCGTTGCATATGTTTCTGTGCCAAACGCTGGTATAGACAAGTCACAACACCATGATCTGCTTACCAACACGTGCAAACGCAGGTCAGAAGATAACAACACTAATTTATCTTTTTGTGTAGCTTCCTTTTTCAGTGGTCGATTATCCCGAATTACAGTGTGGCACATAACCGACCCATCTCATCAACGGATACTCGATAAATACACTGACTTGTACCAAACGCGACTAAACATTTCATGTGTAACCGGCAATTTTGCACATCACGACCACAGGACCACTTATGTTCTCGAAAGCGTGCCGTCTTACTCCCAGAAAGCTAAGGTTGGCAAAAAACGGATTCGACCGGATGATAGACTTGGGAATTATTTGGCCATCGAATGGCCCATGGATATCTCCCTCGTACATGGTCCCTTAAAAGAACTGTAGTCTAAACACTGTCTGTTGGCAACTCAATACGTAAACCAATCCAGGTCGTTACCTGTTGCTGCACATTCACGATTTGAAAGCTACCTTAAAATGTACAAATGCTTTTTTTTCAAAAATCGACTTGGTTAAAGCAGGCAACTAAATTCTTATGGCTTCAGACGTTATTCCATAAACGGCTAACACCACCCTTAGCGGGCTCTACGGATTTTAGCGCTGCATTTTGGGTTATGAAATGCAGCACACTTTCTAGAAATTCATAAACGATGTATTCAGAGGACTGTGGGGAATAGTTAGAGTAGACCTATTCTGTAATTAGCTTATGTTAATACTTCCATTTACCATCATTTCTCAAAATTTTTACAATTACTAGTAATGCCTGTAAAATTGCCGTTAAAAAACGACCTACGTCCTTCCGTTTCGCTTTGTAAACACACACAACATGATCCACTGAATATCGCTCACAAATACCCTGCTGCAAATATAGGCTTCTCTAGTTTCTGGATAGACGAAACTATTCAATCTTCTTAAGTCATATATATATCGTATGTGTACTGTTTATCCTGTAGCGTGGCGTCGAGTTGAGATTAACTATGAACACCGCTGCCAAGAAACACGTGCCAGGTAAATCAGAAGGCGTAGGTTGAACGTAACCAAAGAAACCCATAAAATCTCTGAGAAGCCAAATATCAGAAGACAATTAATGGACCAAGTCGAGGTTTATTTGCTGGCGATCTCGTGGCATCGAAAGGATACCGAGATCGTGCCAGGATACAAGCTTGGTTACAGAACGTAACCGAATTCACGCGAAGTTACAATCGAAGTGTAAGTAAAAGAATGGAAGCACAAAATAGCTGTCATTAGCACAGTTAAACAAAAGCACATTAAAACAAACACTGGTACAGTTGATTATAATAATAATTGTTTTTATCAAACCAGTCGTGTTCTCGTGATAAATATGAGTCACTACAATCCTATTCATCATGTTTGCAACTTATTTTTAGTCGGACTATAAATAATAAGTAACGCTTGGTTGGATTTACTTGGTTCATTTGCCTTTCCCAGTCCGCTCCGCTTTCCTCTCTTTGTTTTGTTTCATTAACTGTCTGTTCAAACCAATGAATGCATGAAATGTACATATTAAAAATCCATTTCGTGGTTTCTATTCGGCTGATTACAAATATATATATATTGAAAGGCAATATTGATATATGATATCATGTGAAACAATTAACAGTCATAAATGAGAAGTAAATTGTATCTTATGTAAACTCTTCATAACTTCCATAATTATCATACGATCAGTCTTATCTGTTTCCGGACTTCATTCAGTTACTGCCTCACCCCCTATGTTTTTTTAAATTCTGTTTTCAAATGACCTCGTAATTGTTCGATCACAGTTATATATATAGGTTTTTGTTGGTAGCTTTGTGATTCTAGTTCTTTTCAGTCACCAATGTCAATTGTTTCACATGATATCATACCACAACGTTACACTGCAATACATGTATGGTTGTAATCATTTGACTAAAAACCAAGAAATATAATGGATTCATATTGATCTGCCTTAATTTTTATGTAAGCTTTGTTCAAAATCGTAAAGGTAGCTAATTGCATGGAATGTCGATCAGTTTACCTACAGTCATGCTACCTTGTACAGTACCACATTGTATATTATTAACATGTATGTGTTACCCATCTCCGTCTTTTTTCTTTTTGTTTATTATCATAAATATTACTTTGCATACATGTATACACCATACTCTTACAACTTTTTGTTGTTAGTATAACCAGTGTTACCTCCGGACACTCTGGGGGTAGCTATGTGGAAATATGCATGACAAGCTTATTTTGTAAATAGTTTTTGATGTTATTTGTATTCATTCTGTTAGTCTTTCATAGCCTGTACGTTTACCATTAAATGATTGTACGTGTTGTTTAAGTGTATGACATTGAACAAATTTTCTTCCGGCGTGTCACACACATAGCATGACACATGCTGTTATTTACTAACAAATACACTGCCATGCACATACTTCTTGTTCTTCATTGCTCGTGATTCTGTTAATTGAATTCTAAATCAACTACCGTCTACATTTATAGACTACAACCAAATTATACCATAGTCTACGTTTGGTTATATCACTGGAAGCACATCAACCTTACTGGAATCTTCAATCATCTATAATTGTGGATTCCGGTACCAAACTCAACCGGAACACGCACAAACCTGATGAATTAAGTAACGTCTCTAATTTTTGTTGTGTTTAGAACGTTTAACTGACATATACTAACATTACAGTTTGTACTTAATAACTCTGTTGTCATTTTTGAATTCATATATTATTTGGTCCACAACAAGGTCACACGATCCCTTTCCAACTCCAGTACACCCCAGTCATCGAGAGAGATCAATACTGATCAGCAGAAAGTGATATGAACACACAACTTTCTGATGGTATATATATTAACATTCCTATTTGACCAGCCAATCTGTCATCCCTTTCAAAGTTTCGCAATAAACAAAGGGAACTGAACCGAAAACTCACTGACCTACATATTAAATACAATCTGAAAATAACGTAAACATTAGATATGGTTGAAATTGTCGTTTTCTAATGATGACTAAACAATCTGAGCACCATAAAAGGATTTTTCTAACATGAATTTCATGTGATATAAAATCATAACAATCAATTTTTTTTAGATTCCTAGATAAAATCCGAAGGTTATTTTTATTAAAACTAAATTGTGCTGGCAACATTGAACAACTTACCAATCAGAAAAATGTTTCATTATTAA